CTCCACACAAAGAAACCCTGCACACTCCTCCCACCTCCTGTTCTCCCATCCACAGGGCAGAAGCAGGGGCCCCGAGGACGACGGGGTCACACACGAGAAGGAACCGGCTCCCCCAGGCCTTCCTAAGGGAGGCAAGAGAACAGTGCAGCCAGGAGCCCAAACGAGAACTGCGCAAGCGATGCAGAAACCCCGCTTAGTGCTACAGGTTGAACTGTGTCCCTCAAAAGACGGTGAAGTTCTAACCCCCAGAACCTGTGAATGTGACCTTATTTAGAAATAGGGTCTTTGCAGATGATCGAGTTAACATGAGGTCCTTAGGTTGGGCCATAAGCCAGTGTGACTGTGTACTTCTAATAAGGGAAACTGGACACACAGGGAGAGTGCCATGGAAAGAGGAACTGGGCTGATAATATCAACAAGCCAAGAGCACCAAATATTGCCCACAAATGACCAGAGGCTAGAGAAAGTCCCGGAACAGACCCTCACAGCCCCAGAAGGAACCAACCCTGCCCACGCCTTGATCTCAGACTTCTGGCCTCCAGAACTGCAAGAGAATAAGTTTCTGTTGTTCAAGCCACCTAGTGCATGGTGACAGGAGCCCCAGAAGACCCGTATACTAAATTACTGAGATTTTGGTGGCAGTTGTTAACAGCAGCTATTATTACTTAGGAGCAAAATCCTGATTTTATTTGAGGTGGCAAAGAGCCCAGGTGAGAGACATTTCCCAGTGTCCTTGGCAGCTAGGCTTGGATGCAGGAGTAAGTTTTTGGCCGCTGGCCAGTACAGGGATTCACACTCTTGACCTCGGCGTCAGAGGCACCACACTCTAACCAACTGAGCTAACTAGCCAGGCTGGATCATTGTGTTTTAAAAGAAGCCTTCTTGCAGATATGATGTGCTAACTCACAGGAATGACTACAGAAGGATGCAATTTCAGGCACCATTCCATGCAGTGGGGAAAAGTGGGTGTTCAGGGAGGTCTTCCTGGACCCCCTCAAACCACTGAATCTGAATATAAAACCAACCCTGAATAAGGTAAGACCCCTATTCTCTTCTTGTGGGACAGGCACTACAACCAACTCAGCCACACTTAATCCTCAAACCACTGAATCTGAATATAAAACCAACCCTGAACAAGGTAAGACCCCTATTCTCTTCTTGTGGGACAGGCACTACAACCAACTCAGCCACACTTA